TAATAGATAACTAACCCTTCAGTTATAAGTACATACTGCTTCTTTCACTCTGCCTTTCTTTTTCTAGAAGTCATCTCCCAAATACTATCTTTTCCAAACAGGGAAAGGGCACTTGGAAAATGGACACCCTGAATTATTTCACCAGCTAATGCTTTGGAAAGGAGATTTAAAGGGTGTTCTTCAGACGGCAGCAGAAAGAGGGGAGCTGACAGACAATCTTGTGGCCATGGCACCAGTAGGTATGTTCTTCTCAACAAAAATACTGACGTCTCTAGGCTATGTTTACCAGCTCTTAGCAGTACCAGTCTTAATCATATAACCACTTATTAATACAGTTACAGGCTGGGCGCTGGTGGCTTACACCTGTAATCCTTACTACTCAGGAGACTGAGATCTGAAGATTAAGATTCAAAGCCAGCTCGGGCAGAAAAGTCTCTGTAAGACTCTTAATCTCCAATTAAGCACTCAAAAACTGGAAGTGGAGCTGTGGTTCAAAGTGGTAACAGCACTACCCTTGAGCAAAAGAGCTCAAGGACAGTGCCTAGGCCCTAAGTTCAAGCCCTTCATGGACAGAAAAGTAAATATAGTTACATACAAAGTTAAAGTAGTAAGCTAATACTTCATCCCAACCCCTACAAAAAGGCAGAACACTAACACACTTTAATATAAAAGCAATGGTGATGTATTTATTCATTCTGTGCTACTGTAACAAACTACTTTGAAGCTACGTACTTTCTAAAGAAAAGAAATGTATTTAACTCATAATTATAAACCAATATTTGCTTAGTTCTGGAAAGAGCTTCCTGATCAGGATCTGGCAAAAGGAGATTGTCTGAAGCCAGAGAGAGAGGTGCCAGGCTAGAGACTAGACTCAAAGCCTTATACACACACACTGTATTACTTAATCTATATACCCAAAGCCCAAGTGTGTACTTTTTTTTTTTTTGTCGGTCATGGGGCTTGAACTCTGGGCCTGGGCACTGTACCTAGGCTCCTTGGCTCAAAGCTAGTGCTCTACCACTTGAGCCACAGAGCCACTAACGGTTTTCTGTTGGCTTATTGGAGATAGAGTCTCACGGACTTTGCTTGCCCAGACTGGCTTTGAATCAGGATTCTCAGATCTCAGCCTCCTGAGTAGCTAGGATTTACAGGCGTGAGCCACTGGCATCCTGCAAGAAAAACAAACCCAACCCAACAAAAACATAAACCCAACTCAGCTTGTTCTTTTTAATAACCATTTGCTCTGCTTAGGAACTAGTCCACTCCACAAGATAAATATGGAGCTTTTCCAGGTACAGTCCCCCCATGATCTAATTACCAGCCACTAGTCATCTCCCATTTCCCCCCTCCCCCACATACACTTAAAAGATTCCACCACTTCAACACAGCTACCCTAGAACACCGGCCTCCAGCTCTGAGGGACAAATCAAAGCATCTAAAAACATCAGATTTGTTGAACAATAAGTGCATACCTTAACATTTTTAACATACCTATAACCTGCACTCAGTTCTTAAATTATAAAGAATTTATCTAACTATATTCACGTGTACAAAATGACATATATATATATATATATAGAATACACACATACACACACACACACCTACCTGTATGTCAGTAAGAACTGCTTAAATGTAAATGGTATGTGTACTTACAATAGAAACTCCCATAAGTGCCAAAAACTGGGGCAGCTCAGTGAATTCTGACACTGCATGGAGCTCTAAAGTGTAGGAGATGAAATGTATCAGGAAATAAGTGCACAACAAAATATGCTACTTTTCTTTTTTTTCCCCAGTCTTGGGGGTTAAACTCAAGACCTGGGCTGTCCCTGAGTTTTTGTGCTCAGTACTAGCTCTACCACTTGAGCCACAGCTCCACTTTCCAGCTCTTTGGAGGTTAATTTGGAGATAAGAGTCTCAAGTATGCACCCTGAATATAACAGCACCCATGTCAAGAAACTTGCCATCATCAATACCGCAGAGTCACCTCGTGCTCCTTTCTGATTACTTTCAGGACTTGATTGCTGATGGCAGTTGGTTGCTATTTGATTGCCTCAGACAGCACTATTGTTTTCCTAAG